CAGTGAGCGAGGCAGGCTGCAGATCACTTCTTTGGTGAGCACGTTTGTAAAAGGCCAGGGAGGAAGGCGAGTGCACCGTGTTAGATTGTGATTGGCCTTACGGTGACGTACATTGGTGAGCTGGCCTGCGTGGTTATCCACCAGCAAGCAGTTCCAAACTGGCGGTGTTGGGTCGATCTTCTGTGCTTGATAGTGGAGGGGTGGACTGTGTGTTACCTAAGCTCAGCCTTGCTCCCTGCACAGTGCATCGCCTCTGATGTTACGCTGTAACTGTGCTGCCCCCTCATGGCCACTTATATTCCCTGCAGCTCAGCTCAGCTTGACCGTCATGGCAGAAATGGCAGAGCCGTCTAAGAACTGAACTTTTGGTCACCTTGATGGCTGAGAGTTCAAATCCTCCCAGGGAGGCCTCTGTACCTCTGAGCCAAATTCTTCACCTGCAGGGTTTATTCAGCTGGAAAATCTTCAAATTTTGTGTGAATTGTGAATAACATGAGGTAGGGATGTTAATGGGCAAGCTAACAGGCGCTGCAGTGTATGGCTAGCAAGTTATGAGAGCGCCCCCTCTTGGCAAGTTATCGCATCAGTGTGGTGGATAAGTATTCTGAGCAAATTGCAGGTTCCAGAAGGGTTGTGGGGTGTGGACCTAATTTGTTTGGTTTATGATAGACTGTCGCGTTTATGTCAATTGCTGCTGTATGGTAGCAGGCTTCCTTCTTCACACTTCGTAATTCCTCTCTCTGTCATCAATTTCTCCATCTTCCCTGTCCCAGCACTTGCAGATGACCATCCAGGCCCTGCAGGACGAGCTGCGCATCCAGCGTGACCTCAACCAGCTGTTCCAGCAAGACTGCAGCACGCGGCCTGGCGAGCCACTAGGCGCCGAGCTCACCGAGGAGAACTTCCAGCGGCTGCACGGCGAGCACGAGCGGCAGGCCAAGGAGCTCTTCCTGCTGCGCAAGACGCTGGAGGAGATGGAGCTGCGCATCGAGACGCAGAAGCAGACCCTCGGCGCCCGCGACGAGTCCATCAAGAAGCTGCTGGAGATGCTGCAGAGCAAGGGGCTGCCGGCCAAGGCTAGCGAGGAGGACCACGAGCGGACGCGGCGTCTGGCCGACGCCGAGATGCACGTGCACCACCTGGAGAGCCTGCTGGAGCAGAAGGAGAAAGAGGTCGGCGCCCTGCGTGAGGTTGGTTCCTCCTGCTGTCGGTCCCTCCTGCTGTCGGTCCCTCCTGCTGTCGGTCCCTCCTGCCGTCAGCCCGCACTGTATAAGCAACACTGTATGACACTGGCCAATGCAGCAGATTTACACCCATTTTAACAGTTTTGGGTGCGTCCAAAATTGCATACCTGTTTGCTACGTAGTAGGCGAAATGTAGTATGTGATGAGTAGTATGCCTGAATCTCATCCAGTATGGATGAGACAGTATGTAACCGCAAAGGTGTAGGAGACTGATTGATATTGGGGTAGACACAACTTAATTTATGTACGAAGGTGAACTTACTGGAGGGGTGAATAAAAACAAATTAAATGGGTGGGGTACATCTCCCCTCTGACTGCTACATCTCTGGATGAACAGTATCCAGATACATAATACATTCTGCGAAATTCCGATGTTTGCAACCGATGGTCTCTATGCTGTCCCACAAAGCCACTAGAGTGGCATAAAGGGTCGCTTGCTCAGAAAATTTTGTCAAGATGGCGGAGGAAGTGCCATCTCTGTATAAATGTAAGTAGAAGACGATACCCAGTTACATTAGTTGACTCAAATATGTATTTTTTTTTTAGTTTGTTTTGTTGATGTCAGGGAGGACGCAAGTAGTGACCGCTGTTGGTCTGAGTGCATGCATAATGTTTTCATGCATATTTATGGTACACACTACATTATCGACTGAGTAGTAGGCTTCTGAAGAAATTCAGTATGTACCATGTGAGTGTTCAATTTCGCACACACCCTCTGAATGATGATATGTTGTGGAAGCAGGGCCAACAAATCATTAAGGGACCGCAGTAATGTGACTGACCGGCACATACTCGGCCTGTAGTGGGAATGAGGTGCCCTCAGTTTGGTGACGGACGATTGTCTTTCTAATGGGATCCAGTGTCAAACTGGCTGAGATCAGTCTGGGGTGGGGAATGAATCACCGCAGTGGAGGAAATGGCCAACAACTATGCCCCCTCCACACCATCACTGCTGGCTCCCGCTATCTGTATCTGCCCAAACAGGCTGAAACCAGCAGGCGCCTTGGGCCCCTACCCCAGATGCCGTGTGAGGAGGGCCTGTGCAGGTGTGAAGATCAGTGAGATATTTAGGAATTTAAACGCCCGGCCTTACTGACTGTACACTGCATCTGCAGTGCCAGGGGAGATGGGCTCCCTGGTGCATGCACTGCAAAGTCTGCACTGTAGCTAACCCTCATCTGCAGCAGCTGCAGCCTGGAATGCAGGAGGGGTGGATGTATAACCAAAGCTGCATGTCTGGTGTCCACGTCTGCCTAAGAAACATAGAGATGGACCAACTGGCCAATCTGTTGGTTTCTGTTGACTTCGTAGCCTCTGTGCACACTCACTATAGGGGCCCTGCTGACTAGACAACGAAGGGTTTGGAAAACCTTACATGTGGTGCCTGAGCATCTGATTGACAGAGATAGCATTGAAAAACAAGGCCTCGTTAACGATGAAAAGGCTTAAGATTCAGGCGGAAGACAAACTGCATGGTAAGCAAGCTGGCGCCTTATTAGTCAGTGCTGCTCTTAAGGTGAACTTGGATAATCGTTTGGGGAGATCAATAGCATGGTGTATTTCATGTGGCTTATTCCAGCCTCAGCACTGACTCTGGCAGGCAGACATGGTATGAAATTTTAAATTGCTTCCTACCATTGATTTCTTTATTTTTTTGGTGTGTGCGCTTTTAAGCCACTTCAGGGAGAAAAAAAAAGCACACTTCACCTATACTATAATGTGGTACATTTATTCCAACCTTGTTTTCATGAGAGCTGTAGCTAGATATTTGGATTTTAGGTTTTTGTCTCCGCTTTGGATCAGAATAGGCAGCACGATGGGTCTTGTGGGACATGGGCCTTAACCTTGAAATTTATCCCCTGAAGAAGATTTTGACGGGGAGCAAAACGCTGTTGAAGTTTAAGGCCCTCCTCTAGCTTTGTGTTCCTGAAATTGCTAAAAAACTGACTGCTGGGAATGTGCTTCCAGTCACGTGCGTATGTGTGAGTCGCAGCGCTTCTGTAATGAGCTATTCTCCAAGAGGGAGGGGCTGCAACAAACCACTCGAGTGTCACCGAAGCTGAAATATCCCTCTGACTCTGGGGTCACGCTCTCGTTCAGTGTGGATGCCTGTTAGATGTCTGCAGCCCTGGCTTAAACTGATTATCTTCTGCCACTGCAGAATGTCTGGTGTCTGGTTTCTCTAGAAGCAGATGAGGTTACAGGAAATGTCTGGATTGTTTGAGCCACTAGAGGTCACCAGAGCTCATCGTTCTATGGAGGAAACTGTGTGGAAACAAGGGGAAGATGAAAGCTTTACAAGTTATGGGGACGAATGGGAAAGATCATCCTGGATGGTGTGTGATGGATTCTGAATGGTTCCCCTTTGGTGACTGATTCTCTGCCTGACCAGGAGCTGCATCGGCGCTATGACGGAGCCCCAGAATCAGCCAAAACAAAGGCCCTGCAAACCATCATTGAGATGAAGGTAAAGTTGAGCACAGGGTGTGTGTCTCTGTGTGAGAGAGAGCAGGGCGTATGCCTGCGTTTGAGTACACATGGGACTGCTTTGCAGGCTGCACGAGTTTCTCAACAGCCTCTGCAAAGCTTTAGCCCCTGTCAGCAAATCGCTGAATCCAGGAAGTGAAGCAGCACCTCCGTACAGGGTTCCCTCATACTCAACCGCAGACCATACTAATGAATCCCATGCTTTGTAGGTCATGCAGAGATGCTGTCAAATTGCCTGTTTCCTCTGCCTTCAGGACTCTAAGATCAGCTCCATGGAGCGAGGCCTGCGGGACCAAGAGGAGGAGATACAGATGCTCAAGTCCAACGGTGCACTGAGCACGGAGGAGCGGGAGGAGGAGATGAAGCAAATGGAGGTCTACCGCAGTCACTCCAAGTTCATGAAGAACAAGGTGGAGCCTCAGCCATGACCTGCTTCTGTTTCTGTTTCTCTGGGCTGGTTTTATTTTGATTATTCATGTTTTACTATAAGTAATGTGGTGGTTATTTTTAATCAATGTTATTCCAGTATCGATTGATGGGCAACAAATGACATCTCGAATCAAGGATGCTTTTGCTTGCCCATGGTGCTGCTAGCTTTCCTGTTCGGCCGTATGCTGGTGTTGATACGTGTGTCATGTGAACATTTCATCCCATTTCTTGTCCAGATCAAACTAAATGTAGTGCTGACCTTGCGTTTGTTGTGGACAACCCTCGAATGTCGTCGTCTTTACTTTGCCCAGATTTGATCTGCGGCGGAATTGCTTTGTGGGAACCAGACTTCTTGGAAACGGAGCGCTGAATCTCTCCTGGGTGGTGTGATCATGTGACCTAATGGATATTGCCAAATGGTCGGTGTTGTGGTTAACAACACACTCTCCTGACAGGTAGAGCAGCTGAAGGAGGAGCTGTCTCAGAAAGAGGCCCAGGGGGAGGAGCTGAAAAAGCGTGTGACTGAGCTGCAGCGGGAGGTCTATGCAGTAAGGCTTCCTGTGTATGCAAAGCATCATGGGACGGACAGAGCCAGTGCCACCTCTCAAACTAATTTCAACACCCTGAGCTCTGCCTTCTTGACACTGAAAAGTGCCCAGCTGCCTGCGAGTCTGTCTGCAGCTGCTTGTGGCTTAACTCACACTGTGTGTTCACTGTGTTGTGGCAGTTTCCAGGACGAGGCACGTATTGGAATGCATGTAGGCCTTGTAAAAGCCATAGTGTAATATGGCTCTGCATTCATGCTAATATACTAAGTCACATGTTTGACATTTAACCTTGTGTCTAGTTAGGTGTAATTCTAATACGGCGTTTACTGATTGAGAATGAGCCCCATCCTGGGTTATTCCCTACCTTATGCCCATAGCTTCTGGAATAGGCACTCGACCCCCCCCGTCACCTTGCAGAGGTCAAGCGGGTATAGAAAATGGTTGGATGGATGATTGAGAATGGTGGTATCAGGTGAACCAAAATAGATTAAACTGGAAGTCATCAATTATCAGACAGTCAGTTAGTGAAACTGTCAAAATTTCAGATAGAATGGTGCATTTTTCATTCTAATTTAAATAGCGATCTGTAAGAGCTGAGTGGAAATGGTGGCGCTTAGAAGCTAGTGACTGTGCCTGCGTGGGCAGGCTTGGTTTCTTGTGCCAGAGAAACTTTTATAGTGTTAGTGCTTTATTCCTGTGAGCTGGTCCAGAATCAGGGCCTCCTTCCCCCATCAGGAATGCAGAGTTCTTCCTCAAAACTAGCAGGAAGTGGCTGGCATCACACCAGGCTCACAGAAGCTCCTCTCCGTTTGTCTGTCTCTCCCTCTCCCAAACCTGCTCCCCTTCCCTCCATTTTGCTCGCGCTCTGTCTTCAGATTGAGGTTGGACTTTGAGCTTCCCTGCTCGCTCTCTAGCGCTGGTCGGGTTGAGCTTTGAACACTAATGACCACTTGGCTGAATTAGGGTCTCCCACCGCGGTCGTAGCACGGCTCTTCTCTGGGGTGCCCACAGGGAGAGTCATCTGGAGGTCCGTCCTAACCTTGCTCCTTTTCTGTCCGGCATGCAATTTCGCCATGTGGGGGCTGTGTTTCTGTGGAGTGGCGCCTCTCCTGGGGGAGTATGCTCCTCTGCTTGTTTTATTTTTATACACCAATTCTTATACGTGGACTTAAATCACAAATCGGAACCCACACCATACTGATTTCAAACGAAGGGATTCTCCCTGTTGGGTGTGCGATTTTTTCCCCTCCTCTTGACCAGGATTTTTAACCACGTTGTGAATATAAATTGACAACAAATGAACATAGGGCACTTATCATATCAACTTTGCTGGAAACCATGGCTACCACTTGCAAAACTGGACCCCCAAAGTGATTCTTTGACTTTATTTGTATTTGTGTGTGTGCGTGTTTTTTTTTTTCCCTATTCACCTGTCACCCTTTCTTTGCAGGATATTCCATACAACTGTAAAATGAGGTATCATTTGGGAGAATTGTGTGTTGGCATGTTTAGATATCAATTTAACTGCATCTCAGCTCTGGCCAGTAACCTTCCAGTACACCAGTCATGTGTTCTCATCCTAGCCAATGGGGAAGCAGGAGCCTGCCCTCTGCACATCTCAACCAGAAGTTTCAATTATTGATGTCATTGCTGAGGCAGCACCCTGCTGAGCCCCTACGGGACCCAGAAGTGGATTATGATTTATTATTTATTTAAGGGCACAGCTGAGATGCCGTGTGTATTTATTTTTTGAAAGATACGGCAGCTGGGGCTCTCCGGGGACCTGAACATTCGGCCTTTCGGTCAATTAAGTTAATACTTCCACTGCCTGCTCAGCTGGTCGGAACCAGTTTTGCAGATAGAAGGGTGGGGATTGTCAAGTGTGTTATGTGTTACTTGCAGAAGTCACAGGATAATTGGTATCCATATGGGATCCCTTGAATTTCAGTACTTTTTATAAAGTAAATAAAGGCATTGATCTTTTTGCAGTCACTCTCGTGCAGCTGCACACAGTTGGAGATATAGCCTGTGTATCTATTTTGAATCGATAATGGGTGGTTAGTTGCTCCTTGTGTATCTATCGTTGTAGTAACTAAAGCTATGCGGTGCTTATACTCACTCTGAGACCTGTCTCTGTCTCTTGACCTAGACCAGTGTAGGTCCATGTGTTGCTTTAATCCCGTCCCACATGAAGTCGTGGTTCCGTTTAGGCTGTGGATGGGGCCTGATTCATTGTTCTCTCCCTCCTGCCCTTGGGGATGCCCTCAGATTGACCAGGTGAAGCAGGACCTCTCCAGGAAGGACACGGAGTTGCTGGGCCTGCAGACCAAGCTGGAGACACTGACCAACCAGTTCTCAGACAGCAAGCAGCACATCGAGGTGCTTAAGGAGTCGCTGACGGCCAAGGAGCAGCGCGCAGCCATCCTGCAGACCGAGGTACTCCTGTGCTCAGTATCACCTGGGGCAGTCTCAACTCTTCAAAACATTAAAAACTTAGAAGTCATGTTTCATCCATCTACTTCTGTTTTTATTAATGTATTGTAGGTCTATAAGAACTCTTTTTCCTTCAAACACGATTTAGCCATACTAACAGAAAACCTTAATTTGAGTACACACATAGCCCTTGCTTGTTACAAGTGACTTGTCATCGACAAATCTGTGAGCATTTAAGTGGGTGAGTTTTCAGGAGTGTCTGGTTGGTGAGCCCCTATGTCACTCTGAACATGGAACTGAGTGTAGCTACTTATTCTGACTGATCATTTTTCTGTAAATAATATGCACAATTGAATATTCATCACATATATCACCACACCAAATGTTCTTGACTGATGTGTAAGGCGGACTTATCACTGTAAGTGAGAATGACATTTTTGCAAAAAAACGTTGAATAGTTAACAATAAAAGCATTTTATGCAAATTGTTGAAATCTGGTTTCTTGGGTAAGTGTGGTGGATGTCTGTAGTGAAGATGCAAGACGTGGCGCAAAGTTGATGTTGAAGAAATGTGTTTCTAATTCACTGATCACCCTCTAAAATGGTGTTTTCTCATCTTCAAATTGTGATACGTCAGTTTTGACCACTAGGTGGTGCTAGTGGATTACGGTTTGAGCAATTCCCACTGTTTCTCTTTTCATAATAGCAAGGTCGCTAATGGACTATTCTCTTGTTTTTTTTGTAACGGTGATCTTTGAGATGAAATTATGGCACTTTAAAAATAGAAATTTTTGATGTTTGGAGTATTCGTTTTCAGAAGAATAAGAGGTGTTAAAAAACTGCAAAGGTTAGATGAGGATAGAATGAGGTCGTTTAACGCTGTGGTCCAGTAGTCTCTTCATGGGTCAGGCATCAGTGTGAAGGGGACACCCGGCAGTGCGCCTCTTTGTGGCTGACCGCGATCTCTCCCGTGCAGGTGGACGCGTTGCGTCTCCGCTTGGAGGAGAAGGAGACCATGCTGAACAAGAAGAGCAAGCAGATCCAGGAGATGTCTGAGGAAAAGGGGACGTTGAATGGGGAGATCCATGACCTGAAGGACATGCTGGAAGTCAAGGAGCGCAAGGTCAACGTGCTGCAGAAGAAGGTGAGTCCTGGCTGGGCCACACGAGCAAGGCAAGGACTTTTTTTCCAGCAGTGATTCAGCAACCTCTGCTGTAACAGCTGTGCTTTTTATTAGCTGCTATTACTTGTCAGTGCCAGCAGGTATCACTCTAGCTCTGTCCTTGGTTGGATTTCCTAAGCTTCATATGTAGAGGAGTCATCGTTGGGAATATTTGAAGAAATTGTGTTCTGAGACTGTCTGTCACTGCAGATGGATACAAAACTCCTTCAGGACCCTCGGGGCGAGTGAGGGAAGGATGATTTGGTCTGGGATTCGTCATTCATTGAGTGCCAGTGCCATTGAGGAACAGGTTGCCTTTAAGTATCTTGACAAAGAAGTTACCAGGCCTCTCGGAGGATAATGGGTTTTTGGAATCAGTGGAAATGTAATTTTGAGTATCAGTTTATGTGGTTAGAAATGCTGTCTTCCCCTCAGCTGCTGGAAGATGGTGCACAGGCCGGGTTTGATGTCAGCCTTCGTTGTTCTTGGTCGCCTTTCGTTGTCCCCCTGTGCATTGTGGGAGGATACGTGAACTGAGGCGCGAGCAGCTTTCGGGGCGTGAGGCAGTTGCCTGGCTGGGCCTGTGTGGTGATAACAGCTCGAGAAGGTTCCCAATTGACCCTGGGCCCGCCACAATGTGTAAAACAGAGCTGTGTAGCTGCAGTGAGCATGGGCTCACCGGCGCTGTCCTCGGAGCGCTGTGTAGCTGCAGTGAGCATGGGCTCACCGGCGCTGTCCTCGGAGCGCTGTGTAGCTGCAGTGAGCATGGGCTCACCGGC